TGTCACCAGCCCCCCCTGGCAAATTGGGGATGTGTTAGAACCGGGTGGATTCAGACGACTCCGGAATGGAATCGGAGACTTAGCATGGAAGGACCTTGGCCTCAGCAACTCAGGCGGAGTGCTGTGCCATTGCTGGTTGTCCTGGGGGTCCCTAATTTCGGATCTAGCAGAGGGAAAGTCTCTTGGGGGAATTCAGGTCAATTTCGGACTGAGGTTACAAGTTACTATGTACATCGTATATAAGGAGGGGTCCGGAATCAAAAGGAGCGAGGGTAGGATGAAAGGAGACAAAGGGAGATGGAAAGAGGAACAACACCGAGGGTCAAGGGTTTGACTCAATGGTGTTTCCCAAAAGAGGAATGAAGGGCCAAGGCCCAAGGAGGAAGGAAGGAGGTTGGGAGTGGGGAGTGGCTAGCTGACTGAATAGAAAGGAAGCAGCAGCCCAAATAGGAATGAGGGAGAATAGTGGAATTGAATAGGACAATGCAATAGTTGCAAGGTCCGAGGTAAGTCCGGAAAGTCCGAACTCGGAAGTTAAACTCCGGAATATTGGCAAAGGTAATTAAATGGAATGAGCTAACCAATACAATGGGTATAAGCGGAGGTGGGGTCAAAGTCCGAGGTCAGAGCTAAGACCGGAGGTTCCGGAGGTGGAGACACAAACGGGATTCCAGAGCGGAGGTCCGGAGTCGGGAGCATAGGTTTTGTGTACTCGTCTGGAAGGTGTCGAGGTTGGGGTCGGACCTGGAATGTTCCAGAGTCGGACCGAAGGTGGTGTCGGAGCCGGAGGTGGGGTAACCTCTTGGGAGTTGGCAAGGAGAAGGTGACAGAAGGGAAGTAGGGCTCTGGAAGTCGGAGTTCAGAGTTCTGGGAGCCCGGAGTGGAGGTCGGGATTGTATGGATATGACAGGATGTAACTGGCACAGTTGTCATATCCATCCACAGCCATCGTCTTCCACTACCTCCGACCCTTCTGGACTCATATTCCACAATCACCTCTGCCTCCCTCGATGGTCACCACCCCCTCTTTTCAATATATTACCTACACTTCCCTAAGTATGGAGCTGTCATATCCGTGCATACCCGACCCCGACCCGACTTCCGGACACCACCCTCTTCACCTCCGGAGTCATAACCTACCGCTGCCTTTCCGATACTCACCTTCGGTCTTGGCAACACACCCCTCCTCTTACCTCTCCGACCCCTTCTCCGTCCGTTCTGATACTCATCTCGGACCGAACATCGCCCTACTCGCCACCCTTCCTACAACTCCGCTTCCCCCTCACCACACCTCCACCCTCCCGTCATCCCCTATGCTTTCTCCATCCGTTCCGATATCCACCTTCGGACCTGACTACTCTTCCTTACCTGTCCCCTCTCTCCTTCCTCCGTCACTCCTCCGCCACCCTTCCGCCAAGTTACGACCATCCACCGCTGTTCCGTACTTCACACTCGGACACCGTTCGTACCTTACTCCGAGCCTCCGTCATAGTCCATACCTCGGACTTTGACTCCACCTCGGTCTTAGTCCATTGCATTGGTGACCTCATACTACGTGAGCACCATTGCCAATATTCCTCGGACTTCCAACCCCGCCTCCGTAACCTCCGTAAGCTCCGCAACCCCCGAGCTTTGCGGACCGCCTCCGGCACTCTCGCCGTTTGTAATGTATTTCTCGCAATTCCCCCTCATCCCTATTTGGACTACTGCTTCTTTCTATTCTAGCCAGTTAGTCATCACCCCCACTTCCCCTCATCCTCCTGCCCCTCTGGGCCTCACCCACTCTACCTCCTTTCAGTTGTATCACAGGTCTTGCCCTATGACCTTCGGTACCGCTCCGCTCCCTCTAACCCTTTGTTCCCGTTCGGACGTCTTCGTTCCGATTCGGTCACCCTTTGTTCTCCTTGTGCTTTTGCCCCTTCCTTATATATATATCGGCGCTTGTACATACTCGTCTGGTTTCAGTCCGAAATCGACATGAATTCCCCCAAGAGACTTTCCCTCTGCTAGATCCGAAATTAGGGACCCCTAGGACAACCAGCAATGGCACAGCGCTCCGCCTGAGTCGCTGAGGCCAAGGTCCTTCCATGCTAAGTCTCCGATTCCATTCCGGAGTCGTCCGAATCCGCACATTCTAACAGGAGCCCTGAAGGCTTCCAGACAGCTCTGACGTCCGCTGGTGCACTCCTGCCCCTGCTGGGCAATTCACTTGCTTGCCCTGCAAGTCTACCTTCAGTCCTATCCCTCCTTTCCATTTCTGGGTTATTGCCTGCCATTCTGCTAACCCTGTAACCCGACTTGTCGGTAATATTCAATCAGCTAATGTTTAACTCTGTTAGCTCCACTCCGCTTGGTCCCACCATTCATGGGCCTGCCCTTGCTGTAACTATATATACTTAACTCGTACATAGGTTACACCTCAGTGATAAAATCGACTAGAGTTGGTCCCCCTTTAGTTCTCGTTGCCAGTAAGTAAATTAGGGCATGGACATGTAACTTGGCACAGCTGGTCTGAGTCACTGAGGCCAAAGCCCTCCACCATGGAGACAACTCCTTCATCTCAATCCAGTCTCTAACAACAGTGCTCCCTCTGAGTCCCTGAAGCTGAGTCCCTTCAACTATTGTCACCTCTGGAGCTCCACCACCCCTCCAGTTGTCTCTAGTCCCCTGTCAGATGACCTGGACCACCCTAGCTCCATCCAACCTCCTGCCTTGGCACATTACCTGCTCAATGGCACCCAGAATTCATGCATCCATGAGATTTCAACCCTTTTTGCAGTCATATCCATACATACCTGATTCAACTCACAGACCCTTTCTGCCACCTCCAGAGTCTTACCTCTCTTGCCATCCACTTGCCAGGGACAGCTCCAAAAGCAGTGAAGTCCCTGTGCAGGGGACTTGATGGGACAAGTAGCAGCTATGCATAGTGGTGGTCCTGTCATGGGGTGAGCATCCCTGACCACTTAGTCTGAAGTGGGAAAGTGAGAAGAAGGCTGCTTCTCCTGTTCCCACCCCAGGTGCTGTTATATACAAGTGGCTGAGGTCAATGGAAGGAGCCACATCATCTCCACACACAGCCATGCCTCTCCAGGTGTCTCTGCAGGAGATCCCAGGGATGGCCGCTGTGTGGGCAGGAATGTGTGCAGTGAGTGTGGCAATAGAGGCAGTGGCATTAGGGTGTAGTGGTACAGGAGGGGTGTGTGGTGTTCCCAGGTATGTGGGTGCACCAGTGGTACAGAGAGAAAGAGGAAGTTGACCATAGAACAGAAATAGAGAGAAAGAGGAAAGAGGAAAGAAAGAGGGTGAGGGTGAGATAAGAGGAGTGGGGAGAAATGGTGGGGGAAGCAGAGTAGGGCAGTGCTGTAGGAGGGCAGGATGGGCATACTCCATAATGTGGAATTTTTCGCGATATACACATCAAAAATGGGTCTCACCCTTGTACATTATTAAGGATTGAGAATGAGAAAAGGGAACAATAAAAGAAAAAAGAAAGGACTTTTATACGAACTGAATCAACCCATCCCCAAAGGAATCGGTTGAGAATTGGTGGAGAAATTATGCAGCAGAATCCTCTTGCACTTGACCAAAACTCAATTGGAAAAAGGTCAAAAGTTGATGGCAGAGGATGATCTAGGGGTCATTAATTGTGGAATAATACCCATAGATCCAGCGCAGAATCTCATCCAGAATGGAAGAGTAGTTGTGGAGAAACCAAGGGAATTATCTGACTCCAGGACTTGACATGTGTCACAGGACTACACAAGAAACATCAATGGTCACATTTGGGTCAGCTTTAGCAAAATTCCAGAGGAAACCAAGCTAGGAATATGTGAGCAATGCAAGGGATATTATCAAGGAACTTTTGGAATTTTAGGAGATAATTTAGTCCAAGTTTCCCTGTGCATGGACAATTGTATTTCTTTTGTTCTTTGGGATTTTACTCAGGCCAATGGCACCTGAACCTTACCACCATTGGTGGTGGAGGCTTATCTAGCCAAAGCCATTTATTTCGAACTATTCCTTGGCACAATGAATTCCCCCCTCTTCACATCTAGCTTGGAGTCAGTGCACTCTGGGGTGAAACAAGAGGCTTAGTGACTAAAGCTAAGGAAAAATTTGGTCCTTAGGGCAATTCCACCAGTTTAGTTGAGTGGTTGGTTTGTTTGTTAAAAACATTGAACCTAGTACACTGGACCTCCTGCACCCCCTCCTCTTCTTCCCTGAGTTGTCAGGGAGTCAGCTGGAGCGTTCCCTTCCCTCTTCCCCCCCTCTCTCCCCTCTAGGAGTCTGTTCCTGCTTGCAGCACAGTGCAGGGTCAGGCAGGGTGTGCCCTGACACCACTCCAATCCCCACCTTCGGATCCAACCTCACCTTCCATCTCCCCCACCTAATCTTCACCAAGGTACAACCCCCCATTTCTGTCCTGTACCCTGAACTTGGACACCAATTGTGCCTCTGCTCCAAGATCCCATCTTGGTCCTGACCTTGGACTTTGACATCACCCCAGCGTAAGTCCATTGTATTGGTGACCTCATTTCATGTAAACAGCATTGCCAATATTCTGCAGACTTTCAATCCCACCTCCATAAGGCTCTGTTACCTCTGAGCTTCATGGACCTCCCCTGACCCCTTTGCTGCTTTAATGTATACTTCACATTTCTCCCCTCTGTCACCAGCTCCCCTGGCAAATTGGGGACAACAAGAATGTAATGGGCACAGCGCTCCATTCTGAGTCACTGAAGCCAAGTCCCTTCAACACCCCATCACCCTCAGAGCTCTGCTCCACCTCTGGCCTGTCTCCAACCCACCATCAGATGACCTGGAACACCAAGCTCCACCCAACAGCATTGCCTGGATAGTGGTCAGACCTATCCAAGGAATGTTCTTCTGACAACCCCCAGGACAACCAGCAATGGCACAGTGCTCCGCCTGAGTCGCTGAGGCCAAGGTCCTTCTTAATTGAGTCTCCAATTCCATTCCAGAACCATCCAAAACTGTCCATTTCTAACAAATGCCTGCAACATCATCTGAGTCTACATGAGATAAAATTGTGATCTATTCAGAACAAAATACTGCCTCCAATAATCCTACAGTAGGGTAAGATGTTTTGTGAAATTATCATGGGATTACCAAGGTAATGGTGCCCTCAATTTCGTGGTTCCTGTTGGTTGGCCCTCAACTACTTCATCACCATGAATCTTTAAGCCTCTTGTTAGGTCAGCAGGACGTATCTCAGCAGCTGCCTGACCCAAAACTTCACCAAACACCCCTGCAACAAATGCAGCTGCCATGCTAGTGCCACTCTTTCTGACTGATTCAGTGTTGCTCCTGATTCCAGCAGTTCGAATGTTGACACCTGGGGCAAATGCAATGATGACAGATCCATAGTTAGAGAAGGATGCTATCATGTTTGTCTTGCCATTGATAGCACCAATGGTGTTGACTCCATCAACAGATTGAGGAATGGAGTTACTTGCATCCATCTTGTTATTCCCCGCAGAGACTACAACATGCATCCCAGTGGCAATCATCTCCTTGACTGCATCGGCAATGGCAGAGGATGGAGGTAGGGAGATACACATCAAAGTGACGGAAGGATGAAGATGATTATTGAATAGGAATTGGCCAAAAATGAAGTGGAGGCCCTGGAGTATGTAGTCGAGAGAAGTTTTGCCATTATCATCAGAGGAAACCTTGACTGCAATAATTCTGGCATGGGTTGCTATGCCATATAGTTTCCCAACTGCTATTGCAGCAGTAGCTGTGCCATGACCGATAAGATCTTCCGTGGACCCACCACCAACAACCTGCATATACAAGGAGTGAAGATCGATGATAGAGAGTGTATAAGGAGATACTCACAGTACCCCAAGAAGCACGTCCCTCCAAGTCAGCGTGATTAATCTTAATACCTGTATCTACTGCATAAATAAGAGCTTCAATTGGGGCTTTGTCACATTCCTCCATTTTAACTGAAACATTGTCATGTTCTGCCACATCCCTCTCATTCACTTCATGGAGGTCATGGTCAATGGAGATTATGACATCAGATTCAACATAAGCAACTTCAAAGCGACTGAGAATGCGAGTAAGGGATGCTCCAGTTGCATGTGCAGAGTAACCATTCAGGACTACAAAAGTCAGCATATTGGGGAAATTCTCTAATATCCACTTACACTTATGTTCATACTGGTAAGTGACTGAAAATTCTGACCCAGGGTTTCGGGTGGATACTTGAGTAATACCCTTGATATGAGCTTCCATATTTGTACCAGATTTCAGCACACTAAATAATGAGTTGGCCAGTAATATGCTATGCATGTTCATGGGACATACACAATGTATGAGTTGGGATGTACTGGACCTTTTGGCTTCTTGATATGAATGAAGGCAGCAAGGGTTGTAGTTGTGGTGAGGACAATTACAGCGATGAGAATAAGGGCAGTTGATAACTTCATTGCTGTAACCAATGGATGGGTTGTGATGAACAGGGGGATTAAGAAGGATGTAAGCTATAGGATGTCCAAAGAGCCATATATATACAACCTGATAGCTGACACACCGGTTCTGGGAATTGATTAATTTGGGTCACATAGAGTTAGGGCTCCTAGCAGATCAGATCGGATCAGATCAGATTGGATCAGGATCCAGATCCAGATCAGAATCTGTGGTGTTTAGAGGTTTGAAACAGAATCTGTATCCAGCAGTTAGAAATCTGTGTATGTGCAGACCAACTGCAGATTGTAAATAAATTGCATTTTGTTAGAATCTCCTCGATGAGAGAGCTCTAAAAATACCGAATTTGTCCATATTGGTGGAGAACTGATGGAGATAGGGGAAGTGGCAGAAAACTGTAGGGCAGGAATTGCTGCTCACCCACACAAGCCCTATATCGCAATTCCCTCATCCCACCACATCTCCAGTTCATGAAACATGTCACACATGTTCTCATATACCATTCACCTTTTTCCCAATTTTCCCAGAAGCATCCCAGTCCCCACAGACCAAATTCCCATGCCCACCCAGCAGTAGGGCCACACATGGAGATTGGATCCCACATATGGCGCTATCAATACTGTTAGCAATGCCTCATCAAGGAGGGTCAGGATATGTGATGGGTGGGGGTTGAGTTGGTTATTTTTGGGTTGGATACCATCTATTGCTTTATTGGTTTCTTGATTATTGTTTTCCCTTCCTTTTTCCGATGTTGTTTGTTGCCCATATGGCCCCTCTAAGTGCATTGGGATCATCCTGATATTTTCCAGAACTTTCCATGATCATTTCTCAGATATACCTGTACTTCAGAATATATCTGATTTCCCCTGGGACTTAGTGTCAGGGCATGCCTTGTCTGATCCTGATCCACCACCACTACACCACCATGCCCCACTCTGCTCTCTCCCAATGCCTGCTCCCTCTTCATCCCCCTTCTTCTCTCTTCCTTCACTCTTTTCCCTTCTCAAACAGATGACCTTTCTCCTCTTCTATGTAATGCTGATGCACCCACAGAGTGCACCAAGCTCCCAGGTGTGCTGTGCACCCTTCTTGTATTCTTACAACCTGAAAGGGCATCAGCCCCACACTCCCAAGTCACATGTACCATGATGTAGTTACAGTCACGTGACCCAGTGGCACCTTCCAGTACTGCTCTACACCACCATGAATGATACACCATCATATGACTTATGGCCAGGTGTGCTGAGTGACCACAACTGACCTCACAATTTTTTAAGTGTATGAGGTGTGTTTAAACAAACACAGCCAAAAAAACTACATTGATTCCACATCCTGACTCAGTAGTGCCCATAATGGGAGATTCACAAAAACAGCCATTGTTGGATGACAACAAGGATCATGTTGATCCTGTAAGAACAACCATCTCAGGGCTGGTCCCTGAGGGTTTAAAAAACTTACATGGAGTAAGTGTGGGGACCAATACCCCTAGAACTCCATGTCACATTCACCTCACCCACATTGGGGAAGAATCCTCATCCCCAGATGAGGTGATTGACTTGCACACAGAAGACATAAGTGCTGAGGAATCAGCCCAACAAGCTGATTGGACTCAGTCACAGGAGAACCCAGGGCCCCACTATCCCCTGGAACCCCTCTGTAGACTGTCCACTGGACTACCTCCAGGTCCCATCCTGTCAGGGCACCCAACCACACAACCCCAGAACCACCCTCCCTGACTTCCCCCACTTCCCTGACCTCCCCATCTTTACATATTACTCACAACTACAGCCCACATGTGAGCCCATGGGAAAAATCATGTGGGTCAAGGCGAGCAACTTGCCTTAACCCATGTGACACCTTTTCTGAGTTGCAGGAACATGCTCGGCTTCTACCCATAGTCATGTTATGAACTGTACAGTACACTTCCCTTTTATAGCAGCAGGGAATTGTTGGAATGAACATGCAGAAGCAGAGAAGGGACTCAGGAGTGGAGGGACCTTGGCCTCAGTGACTCAAGTGGAGCGCTGTGCCACTGCTTGTTGTCTAAGGTGGTCCTTAACTTCAGGTTATCAGGGGGAGTCTCTTTGGGGGACAATCCAGTTGTTATTCTTGTCAATTTCAGACTGGGGGTACAGGAATCTATGTACAGAGTATATATATAATACTACAGGAGTGGAGTCAGAGGACAAAGGGAACTGGAAGGAGAACAAAGGGGGACTGGATGAGGGAACAACCCCAAGGGTCAAGGGTTGGAACTCTACGGTGCTTCCCAAAAGGGCAAGGCCAAGAGGGGAAGGAGTGGAGGGGGTTGTGGGGAATGACAGCTGACTAATATGGAAAGGAAGCAGCTGTCTAAATAAGAAAGAGGCAACAAGGGGATTAAATGACACCATACAGTAGAGACTGCAGGGTCCGGAGTAAGTTCCAGAGGTCTGGAGTCGGAAGTCAAAGTCCAGAATATTGGCTAGACGTAATAAATGAAATATAATAAGGAATACAAGGAGATAAGATGGAGGAGGAGGTCAAAGTCTGGAGGTGGGGATGTGACCAGAGTTCCAGAGGTGGAGGTGCGATGGGGTTCCGGTACAGGAGTCCGGAGCCAGAGGTAAGGAGCATCGCAAACTCTGGTCTGGAAGGTACAAGGTTGGGATTGGACCTGGAGTAAACTGGAGTCAGATCGGAGGTAGTGTTGGATGTTGTGTTGGAGCCAGAGGTAGAGTGGGCTCTCAACAACCAACAGGGGGAGGTGGAGGTGGAGGGTGTGGAGTTCTGGAGGAGGAGATGGAGGTCCAGAAACAGGAGTGGAGGTCCGGAGTTGTATGGATATGACAGGAATAGGGAAATTACCCTTCTTCTCAACTCAATCCCCACTTAGTCCCTTCAGTGAGTTTGAGGAGCTGAGGACAGGGTCTAGCACCCAGGTACCCAGAACATTGCACACACCTAGCCCTGAGGCTGGGCTGTCCTCAACTGAGGACCGAGCCCTGACACATCCAAATGAAGGATGGGAGATGAAGAGGAACTCTTCCTCAGGCTAAAGGTGTTAGAGACCGGATGCAAGATGAAGGATACATCTCCGTGGCAGAGGGCTTTGGCCTCAGCAACTCAGACCAGGAGCACTGTGCCTAGTTACATGTCCATGCCCTAATTTACTTACTGGCAGCAAGAACTAAAAGGGGGGATAACTCTAGTTGATTTTATCACTAGGGTGTAACCTATCTACAAGTTATGTATATATATAGTTACAGCAAGGGTGGGCCCATGAATGGTGGGGCCAAGCAGAGTGGAGCTAACGGAGTTAAACATTAGCCAACTGAATATTACCAACGATTCAGGTTATGGGGTTAGCGGCTATAACCCAGAAACAGAAAGGAGGGATAGGCCTGAAGGTAGGCTTGCAGGGCAAGCAAGTGAATTGCCCAGTGGGGGCAGGAGTGTGCTAGCGGATGTCGGAGCTGTCTGTCAGGGCCCAGCACCCAAGCCCTGACCCCACACCACCTGCTCCCCTTCTCTACCAGTTGTTGTTTCACTGCCCTGTACACTTGTGTGAGCATGGAAGTGTGAGAAGACCTCCAGACACTGCCACAGTTCTGGGCAAGCTGCTTGCCCAGAATGTTCCCATGGGTCACAGCCACAATTCTGGGCAAGTTGCTCACCCAGAATGTTCCCACACCCTCTGAGTACTGCCACCCAGACCCTCCCTATAGTCACACTGCTCAACTGGGGAACTGTACAGTCTTTCCCTTTATGGGTGCCATGTGGGGAGTTGAGAAGGTTACCCTTCTTCTCAACTTAGTGCCCACATAGGCAAGTTGTACTTACCTTTTACAATGTCATGCAACTTAGTGCCTGCATAGAGTGCCCACATAGCATAAGAGTACTTCCAGGTCCCAGGCCAGGCCCTGACACTGTCTGGAGGCCTTTGGGGTTCCATACTTAGGGAGGTGTAGGTAATATATTGAATTGAGGGGGTGGTGGCCATCAAGGGAGTTGGAGGTGATTGTGGAATACGGAGGCTCTGAGGTTAGTGATGAAGGAGCGGAGGTAGTGTCACAGCCCCACAAAGTCCCCACCCTCCTACCACTTCTATCATCTGCACCCCCATTCTTGCGCCCATTAATCGTGCTGTTGTCCATCACTTAGTGGCGCCGCTAGTGATTCCTGTCTACAGCCCCATAGCGGCGCCTCCTTCTTTCTCCCACCACCACTTGAGTTCCTCAGCCATTCAGCCAATACCATTCTATTCTTATTCATTCGCTTAACTTACTAGTGGTCAATATTGTCACCACTGATCCGCTCCTTATTGACATTTGGTTTATTCCTTTATTGACACTTGGTTATTCCTTTATTGACATTTGATTTATTTGTATATTGACATTCTGATCCGCCACCATATTGGCACCTAGATTGTCGGCCTATTCATTCTGCCTCCCAACTTCGCCGTCCTCTGTTCCATTCATTTCTTCTGTTCCATTTCCCTGGTCCTCATCACTCTTTTAGTTTTGTCGCACTTACCATCCCGCTCCCGTCCCACGCCGGACCAACCAACCCCTTCTCTGTTCTCCTTCCATACTTATACTTGTAGTTTACTGTTGATGTACCTCAGTTCGAATATCGACTAGAAATCCCCCCAAGTACTCTTGTCTTAAGTTTGCCTCTAAGTTTCATCCCCACCTGAGTAACGTCGCTGCAAGGTCCTCCCGCTACCCTGAAATACGGGACAGCCTAGAATGCATGGCGCAATGCTCCAGCTGAGTCATTGAAGCCAAAGTCCCACCCCCCAAGATGCCTTGCAATGGAGTTGCACATTAGATAAGTGAACACTCACACCGACGCACTCCGCTCCACTTCCTGCAATTACTTCAAATACAGTTTCTGACAGGTAGTCCAGAAGGATCAGAGGTAGTGGAGGACAATGGCCATAGATGGATATGACAAAAGGTCCACACCAGAATGCCCTGAGAGCAGGAACTCTCAGAATGGGGAAACTTTAGAAGAGTTT